CGAAAAGTTTATTACTTATACATAATTAAAATTCGACAAAGAGAAAGAAAGAGAGAGAAGAAGAGAAGAACAATAAAACCAAACATGTTCTGTTTAATTTATCGATTTGCGAGTTTTGAGAGAGTTAAATCAGTGACTGATACTTCATTTTATTGCTCTCGAGGCACTCCCGCAAAGATTTCTCTTAAAAAAATCACACACGATGCCGTATACGTGACGTATCTGAAGAGCATGCTCGCCGAAAATACTCGCGCGCTGATTTCTAATTCTAACATATGAAACACATATGTTCTCGGTTGCTGCTAATACTACACTCTGAAAATGACAAGGTCTCCGCCTTCGTAAAATACATCTACCGATGGTCTCTCAGCACATAAAATTCGAAGGTCAAGCATCGGCGTTTCTCTACATTTCCCATAAAGTATCTTCTACACGTATCTGTTTTGAATTTTACATATTAGTTCGATATGCATTAATCGAGATGCATTGTTGCACCGATTCTGTTGAACGTCTTCAATTGATGCAACAAATCCTATATCTATCAAAAAGTGTATTTATCAGATTGTTTAAGAAATCATCCAAGTCAATGATTGTATACGAAACTCGTATCAATAATGTAAACGTTTATTTGTGATATTTCACAGTTATGTGACATGAAAATCTCTTTAAACAAATTGTAAAATAGTATTTGAGCTGTATTCGTAGATCGAATTGCTTTCTGATGCGAAACAGTATGGAACTGATTAGGATCGGTAACATAGAAGCATCGAAGGGCGGCTAAAATTCGCTCAAAATCGAAGGGGTCTTGTAGAGCTTGCCCGGAAGAATTCGTTATATCAACATGATTGGTTCCATGGGGAGCAAAGAAGTTTAGACTATGCTAGTGTGTAGCGAGAATTGTTCTTTTTTTCTCTGACGGACGCCCTGTCATCCTCATCAGTGCCTTTCTCTAAGAATTGGACCTTTATATTCTCTCTGTACGCACGAGAATGACAAACATGACATCCCTTTAAAGGAATGTTCGTTCATGCATCGATACGATGCAACCTAGCTGTGGTGCATATTCTAATTCCGGCTCTCTCTCTCTCTCTCTCTCTCTCTCTCTCTCTCTCTCTCTCTCCCCCCTCCCCCCTTCCTCTCCCTGCAATTTATTCCTCCAAGAAGATAAAAATCGTATATGGAATGCAATGTTACGTCAATAATGAAACAAAAGATAATTGCAACTGATAACTGCGTTATATTATACTTTTTGATTTCGTTAATTGGTCATTGAGATCTTTGACATCATTAAATCTTTTGGTATCAGTTTCTATCTACATACCTATCTATACCTATCATGAACATGAAATAATAGTAAGAAATGAAATAATTACAAACTCCATTCAATTTCTAATTAAACTTCTAGTATATTTAGTATTTCAGTATTTTACGACGTTAATAAGTACCAATTATACACTGATCAAATTTTTTTAATGCTAATTCATTGCATTTCGCTGCAAAAATGTATTTTACAGAAATGTATTTTATGTATATTTTTTAAAAAAAACATAGGATAATTATTAACCTTATCGGATCATGCACATCGTGTACATGCTCTAAATCCGTATCGCGTACATTGGCGGAAGTGCGTGAACGAGCACTCTCTTATACATCGCTGATTGATAATACCGTAGTACACGACGATGCGCACGTATATACATTAATTGCGTATGCCGGATGTTGAAGTCCATGCACGTTGCGTACTATCAAGTTGCGTTATACCAAGGACAGTCGGGCGAATCATGATCGATAGTAGAAGAGATCTGCTGAATCCGTTATATCCCACAATCATTAGAAACAATATTTTTGAAACTATAAACTCTCGTTAAACTAACGCAAATATTATTTTGTTTTAGAGCGCGCAGAACAGATTGTTAATTAAAAATGGCAAGGTTGTGAACGACGATGGGATAATCGACAGCGATGTCTACATCGAGGATGGTATCATCAGGTATGCAAATATGAAATACATTTTAATTACACGATATGCGTAATATTGATGTATATTCCGCATTCATACATATAATGCGCATCGTGTACAGGAATCACCAGTAGACTTATTAGGGCAAATTATTAAGCTCAGATTCGCACGATTCTCAAAAATAGCGAGGTTTGTGTATTTAAATTGGTAATATGCCGGTAATATTACAATATATTTAGCTCACTTGTCTAACCGCTACTTTATACAAACTAAATGTGACTACATTCGCGGTAATTTTATCACTGAATGAGGTGTGTAGCAACAGATAACACATTTACGTTCGCTAATTTATCAAACGAGCGTGACTGGTCGTAAACGTTAGATAATCGATAGAAACTATCCAAATCAACTAGTCAATGTCAACTGAGATTTGATTAATTGAACTGTAATTTATCAAAAAGTCTCTCGAATTGATTGCGAAGGACGAAGGAAATTATTTGACAAAAATTTTCATTTTTGTTCGCAGACAAATGGGACGTAATCTCATTATTCCGGGTGGCACGAGAACCATCGATGCTCGTGGAAAATATGTAATGCCCGGTGGCATAGATCCACATACACATTTCGAGTTCGAGTTTATGGGTACCAAGTCGGTAGATGACTTTTATCAAGGCACAAAAGCCGCAGTCGCTGGCGGTACCACGATGATCATTGATTTTGTGGTGCCGCGAAAAGACGAAAGCCTCGTGGAGGCTTACGAGAGATACAGGCAATCGGCGGATCAAAAAGTATGCTGCGATTATGCGTTGCACGTCGCCGTTACATCTTGGAGTCCGAAGGTAAATTGATTAAAACATTTTATAAGTTTATATTTTTTATATATTATATCTTACAACAGATATATTGCAATCCAATCAAGTTTGTTAGAACATGTCACAAGTATCTACTTCTAATTTGATCAGTTTTCCTAGCTATCGACTACTATACTACTGCTTTTATGATATGATATATCAATCAAGCGTTTACGCTATAAGTGCAACATAATGTTTAAGCCAGGTCATTGCGCCATGTGCATTTATTCTGTCTTTCTAGTTATCCGGAACGAGATAATTTCAATGTTTAACAAATTAAATCCTCCTAAGAAAGAAAATTTATTTAGGTTTGACATCTTTTTTCCCTTCTGTTAATCATATTTAAAATTATGACATTTCTAAATATTTCAAAAAAAATCAACACTTTATAACGTTTATCTATTATAGACTTACACGTTGATTATGTTAACTAGACGATCAATTGTAATCGTAATGACAATTTATCTAATTCCGATGTAAGTTACGATATATGAATTACATAAAATTAATATAATTCTATCTTTTATACTTTTTGGTCATTGAGGTAGTCGTAATTCAATTCAAAAGTTTTAAACTTAATGAAATTCATCAGATGTTATACTGTCTGATATTAGTAATAATCTGATTATCATTACATCGATGATCAAAGATTAAGATTTAACTATTCATTTTCTTGTTCAAATTATATTCTCTTCATAATATGGCGAAGCGGAAAGAGAATACAGTTAAACTCAATTTTTCGTAGTTCCTGTCTCTTAGCATGGTTCAGGTCTTAAAAAATGCAGAGCTTTAATTATCGACATTCGATAGAGATTGGATCAGAGCGATTCCAAATGTAGGAAAACTAACAAACTCGTTCTGTAAATTGGTTGTGTAGTTCTCCGTAGTAATCGGCTTATAACTACGATCTACGATTACCGATCACGCGGTTGGAATACCGAGTGACGGCGGATGAGAAAACCGCACGTGCTCCCTGAGGGCACGATAGATGAAAGCGATTTGCCATTGAACCTCCTTATTTGCTGTCCATCATACAATCGAAAGGAAACCACGTTCGCAATTCATTATTCATCGATACTCATTGCCTCATCTGTCTGCAGGTCAAAGAAGATATGGCGACTCTGGTGAAAGAGCACGGCGTCGGTAGCTTCAAAATGTTTATGGCGTACCACGATATGTTTATGCTCAGAGATCCGGAGCTGATCGAGACTTTCAAGGCGTGCAAGGAGATTGGTGCCATTGCTATGGTACATGCGGAGAACGGTGATCTTATCGCGGAGGTATATCATATACATACACAAAATGATGATAACATACGCTAACTAACGCACACACTATCCGATCAATTCGTTGCTTCATGATACTTTTGATTATTAATCCTTGCTAATATCTTCTTAAGATTATGAAATTTCGCACGTTTCAATATAGATATATTTCTGAAAGCATAAAATATATAGTGTATTTATATATAGTAATTTCTAAGCTTTTAATATCTTTTGTTTACTATGGTTGACGAACAAAGTAATATAAAAAGAAAGCTAAGCTAATAAAATTGCTATGTGACTTGAAAATTATACGAGTAATGAAGGTTAATAGTATGTATCCACATTGTTTGAAACAGGATTTTAATGTGAAATACAACATACTAGTTCTTTTTTATCATTATAAACTTGTTCCAGAATGCGAAGAAGTTATTAGCCGCAGGAGTAACTGGCCCAGAAGGCCACGAAATGTCACGCCCCGAAGAAGTCGAAGCGGAGGCTGTGAATAGAGCATGCGTTATCGCGAATCAGGTAAACGCTTCGCTGTGATATCATTGCTAAAACATTGATATCTTTTAGTCAGAGTTTCGTATATTCGTTCTTCGTTATCTGTTTTGATGTATATCTTACTTTGTCTCAAACACGCAAGATTTTTTTATATTTGATTACTTTTTTTACTTTTATATTTGATTACTAGATTACTTTTAAGGTTCTATATAGATGTACTTGGCACGGTATCCGCAACAGTATTTAGTTCACGAACGATCATAAATTTAGTAGATTAGAAATCAGGACGCTACTTTTCGTAGCATGTGCCTGATGTATGAAATTTTCGAATCGTACTGAAATCAAGAAATATCTGTATCACGCCATAAAATGTGATAATAGCGCTTAAAATTACTTTATTGCTTATCTATTTAATTTAATTTTTTTTTCTCTCTAAATTTATACTTTGTCATCTTTCTTTCTTCTTTCCTTATATCTTTTTAAATATTTCTTTTTTAATTTTATAGTTTTAAATTCCATTCTTTACATATACTTAAAAAAGATATATTGCTTTAAAAAAATTAATTTTTTACTCTCCCCCCCCCATCTCTCTCTCTCTCTCTCTCTCTCTCTCTCTCTTTCTCTCTCAGCAACTGAAAATATATATTTTTTTTAAATTACTATCGCATCTTATGCAGTATTAGTATCAAAATTCCGCATGCTTAGGTCAATTGTCCGCTGTACATAGTGCATGTGATGAGCCGTAGTGCCGCCGAACAAGTGGAGGCCGCGCGTAAGCGTGATGTTTGTGTCTTTGGTGAAACCTTGGCAGCTGCAATTGGCACGGATGGTACCAACTACTTACACAAGTGCTGGAGACATGCCGCCGGCCACGTTATAAGTCCACCACTCAGACCTGATACGGATACGCCACGAGTACTTGTGAACATGTTAGCTAAGTGAGTCAAAGCCAATGATAAATTTAGGATGACTTTGACATCGAAGCAGGCTAGAACGTAAATTTACGAAATCTATACGAAATTATAGATACTTGATTCTTTGAAAATTAGCAAATCGAATATATATTACTGATCAAAACTAGCCAATACAAACTATTGGTTATTAGCAGCAATATTTAAACATAGATCCGATTGCAGACATTCTTAAATAAATCGTATTTGCCAAGTATAGTATCTTGTCTATAAAATGCCGGAAAACACTTTCTTTTGAGGTCGATGCAATAGTCGTATCAACATATTTTCCTTTCTACTTAAAAGGAAAGGCACGACTAGTCTTTTTCTAAATAAGCGTACACATTGAAAAAAAAGTTAGATTTATAGAGAGTGTTGAAGATCTTGAACAGAAAAAACTCGATGTGTTTCTTGCCGTTAGGTATCTTTTATTCTATTGATCTCAAATTGTGTTTTTCAAGTAATGTTGCATGTATGTATAATATATGACCCTAAATATCTATTATCGAGTACCAAAGTCTTGTTTCGCGCCCTCCATATACTTTCTATTCCGCTGATTAACGGAAATAGGTTGCAATTGCAGCAATAGTAATTTAAGTTTCTATGTAATCCAGCTAGACGCTTGCGTGACATACGCGCAAATTGCACAATTATGCCGTTCGCACACTGAAATTTATATTTGATCGTCGAAATTTACTCGCATGCGCATTGAACGTAACTCGTTATCTTTGTTTCTCCTTTTTCTCTTATTTTTATTCATTTACTTATTAGATATAAATATTTCTCTCTTATGGTTATTTTTATTACTTTTAGCATTACGTATTGCGCATGTAAAAATATTTTATAGGCATTGATATAAAAATATATTTTATTTGAAGCTTTTTTAAATTGTTAGATGTAAATCGAGCACAACTGAAAAAGATTTTGTTTGATAGCTTTATGATTTGTATAAAATTTGACATATAGTATCGATATTTATCATAAAATACGTTTTTTAGAATTAAAAACACAGATCTAATTTTATATGCTAATGTTATATATTTCATATATTTTATATGAAATTACTTTAGTATAATTAAAAACTAATATTTGTATATAAAATACAAGACTGTACATAAATTAGCGCGAGACACTATTATGTCTCCTAATAAAAGGTAATAGCGATAATTTTAATATTAAAACATTTTGAAATTTTTATTGAATTTCGATATAAATTTTTTCAGTTATAAGTTGTTTTGATTAATTAAAGGTAATAAACATAACGATAAAAAGAATATAACAGTTCAATGAGAGAATAAAAATATCGCGTTTAGGTGAATAGTCCGTTGTATATAACGGCAATTTCAAGCAAGTCGGCTGCCGACGTTGTGTCGGCGAAGCGATCGGACGGTATCATCGTTTTCGGGGAAACCTTGGCAAGCACCATCGGTATCGATGGTAGCGAGCAATATGGCAAAGACGTGGAAAGAGCAAAGCGTTTTATTACTAACCCACCGTTGCGGCCTGACCCAACGACACCTGCCTATCTAACTGAACACCTGGCCCAGTAAGTAGATTGTATAAAGAATCCCTAATATTTTTATAATGGCTGGGTTGTTCCTTCTCGTACTATTTAATTGAATTTTTTTATATTAAAAACAATAAATATTTTAATTTTTTGGTTAAGAGATATTTGTTTCCAATTAAATAAAAAAATGAAAAATGAGAAGATTATGATTTTGGCACTTTATGAATATTATTATGTATAATTTTTTCTTTATTTACACTCTTATGTTTATTAATCTTTTTTTTCATTCTCTTTCTTTCCGATCAAGAATGTGTTGGATTATTATCCTATATTATTTCGCTGAAACGTTCATAACAATAAATTATAATAACAAAATTATAAGAATTACATAAGCGTAACTTGGATATTAATAGCTCCGACGTAAGAAGTTGCCTTTATGGTGAAGCGCAATTAATGTCGATTAAATGAATAGAGGAAAAACTGCTAGTTTAACGGTTACTATTAAATGAGTATCATCCTCCAACTTTTAATCATTTGACGTTTACTATTATTTTATTTTGTATTATTAATTTTTTACTTTAGCCTTTACTCGATGTCAAGGTATTTAATTGATGATTTAATTTTCCTTCCGAGAATACGATCTTCAGAGGCATGCACTAACACGACTTTTTCAGAGATAATCTTCAAGTTACCGGCAGCGACAATTGCACGTTCAATGCCGAACAAAAGGCTCTGGGCAAAGATGATTTTACGAAGATTCCCAATGGCGTGAATGGTGTAGAGGACAGGATGGCAGTGCTCTGGGAGAAAGGTGTGCATGCTGGTATAATGGACCCTATGCGGTTCGTTGCAGTTACCAGCACAAATGCTGCCAAAATTTTCAATTTATATCCTCGAAAGGGTGTTATAGCCGTCGGCTCAGACGCCGACATTGTCGTCTGGGATCCCAACAGGAAACGTACCATTTCCGCCCAGACTCACGTCCAGGCTGTTGACTTCAACATCTTCGAAGCAAGTTTGATTAAGTCATCCGCTTTCGATAATTATAATATTGTCTAAGAATGTATGTAAATTGTTTTCATCGTAAAATATGTGAAAGATTGCGATCTATCATATTTTCAATGATGATAATTCTTTCAGAAAGACATTGAATTATTGCTAATTACAATATGGCTAATTATATGTATAATATAATAAAAAGTATATCATGTGATAGTAATTTAATTATTTAATTAATATTGTTAATACATACAGGGTATGGAAGTAACTGGAGTACCTGAATACGTGATTGTCAACGGACGCGTATGCGTGGATGAATGTGAGCTCAAAGCTGTTCATGGCTTCGGAAAGTACATAAATGCGGATCCATTCGGGACCTATGTGTACGACATGATAAATGACAAAGAAAAGGTATAATATATCGATTTTTTTTTCTTCTCTTTCTACTATTATTTTTTACTTTTTTGCGATTGCATTGCGATATTCCCTACCAGTACTGAAACATGTATAGAGCATGTAACGTATCTCATATATTTTCAATATTGAATATTGGAACGCAACTCTTATATGTTATTTTTAAATAATGCACATAATGTTAAAGTAGATATATTTTTACTAAATTTTAATTTAAAACTCGAACAAGAATAAAATTAAATGTTAATCAAAGTTAGAATAAAATTAAATGTTAATCAAAATTTTATTACTGAAATTAGAAATTATAACTTGTAACTGCCCAGAAACCACGTGGAATTGCACGAACCGAAGCAGAGGCAAAGAGATATGCCGAAGAAGACGCCGCGATTGCAAAGGCTAAAGAACAAGCGAAAGCGGCAGCTGCGGCAGCGGCACGAGTCAATCAGAACGGTTCAATTCATGACAGTCCAAAGATAAAATTGCAAGCAGCCATTTGTGTACCTACTTTACCGGAATCCGCCGTGGTGACACCATCCACGAAGGGTCCAAGACTTGAAGGGCAAAGAAACCTACAAGATTCTACTTTCTCTATCAGCGGTGAGTCTTACTATAAATTATTTTTTTAATTTTTAGACACGTGATATATTTTCTGGTGGTATCATACTAATAAAGAATAATTTTAAATTGTCTGACCTTGAACTATCGTAAATCAAGTGGGATTTTTTTATTTCATTTGTTTCATTCTTCATATTGTAGGAATATAAGCGCGTTTTTTTTACAGAGGATGTCGAAGAAGCACGAAGGGCATGCATTCGCGTAAATAATCCACCGGGCGGGCGCAGTGCGGGAGGTTTTTGGTAATTTTTACAAAAAGAAAGAGTATCAAGCTTTACGTATAAGGATCACTTAATGCGAAAACATGAATGGGATTTTATTTCTATTCTTTCCTTTGTCTCAAATTCCTTTTATCCGTCATAATACTAACATACACATTTTCGTTTCAAAGTATCAATCCGCTCTTAGGTTTGCTACTCATTAACTGTCACACAAAATCATTTTTACATTGTATTCCTATCGATCAAGGTCTGTTCCATCAAAGGAGGATACGGAAACCACTGGCCAATAGGTTGTACGTTCATATATTCATATTAATCGTTCTACTTTCGCTTCATTATCGCTTCATCGCTGCATTATATTATATGGCTTGCTTGAATCATTGTTCATGGTCCATTTTTCGATTTCTATATTAAAAAATTATTTTCTTTGATTTTTAACAACGTTATGTTAATAGATTTTCTTTAATATCGCTTCCGTTGTTTTTACTTCAAGATTTATTTATTGTTACATATGTAAAAGTATATGTACATCATATGATTTATATTATAGATCAATAAGATATATTGGACGAAATGTCTTTGAAAACAAAGACTTTGATAATTTAGAAAAAAATTAATTATTTTATGGATGGACATGTACATAATTTATTTTGTAAAATTTATTTCTATACGATTTTCATATGGCAATCATAATGAACAATCTCTGAAGATAAAATTAAAAAAAAACCTTTTGTTATTTATTATTAACTTTGGTACAAGATAAAATAATTTGTTTCTTTTCTTATATTATATTACGATTTCTTTAATTTCAAAGAAAAAATGATGATCAGGATGATTCTTATCCTATGAATCAGGATATTAAGTTGCAATATCACATTATTAATAAAACAATTGCTCGTTTATTGTCCATGATAAAGAGAATTTACATTAAGAAACATAGAAAGACGTAGTATTTTAAATTACAACATTTACAATGAGCCAAAAAATTTCGATAAAAAATTTTGTTTATTTGACGTGAAGTATTACACAAATATATTTATATGGACTAGTTGCACCTTGTGGTATAATTATATGAGGATTAGTCCAAAAGTAAGTTTCTTTATTTATTATGAAAAACAGAAAGACAAAATTTAAAAATCTAAAAAAAATTTAATTCATTTTGCTTTGGTTATTTTTCTATAAATTCACCTTTTTTTTCTATACATTTTTTATTGTATCGTGAAAAAGATTTTTTCACGCTTTGTACTCATTTTCCACATGAGTCATCTATTAATAGTCTTAACTTCTTCGTTATTATTGAATCATTGATGACCACCTAAAGTTTCAATTTAGGGAAGAAATGGAAGTCATTTGTGGAGCAAAATCCAGAGAATACAGAGAGTGTTTCTAAGAATCCACTCAAGACTGTGTTCGGAAACTTTACCCGAATGTCTCTGTACATTATCTTATATTTAACATATTTAATATTGAACAAACAAGAATAAAACGATATACGGAGATACTTGGATAACGCTTTCGAACGTATCTCAGGGTCATTTTTATGAAAAAAAAAATAGGGAAACTCATTTTTTGGATTGATCATAGACTTGCAAAAAATGGACACATCGTGGTGCAAGATGTGAAAGAATTTTGGGTGTACTTCCGAAAAGGTGAACCCCCGATTTTCTTGTCGATTGGTATACTACTATTTTGATGCTCTAATTATACAAATATGATCATGAAAATTATCGACAAGATCATTTTTACGATTAAATATAAACTTTTACATTTTATGTGATCACAAGTAGAGTTGTTAGATTTTGGTTCGTGTTCCCCTTCTCTCTCCCCTTTGCGAAAGGACGCATGATTTTCTACGCAAAAAGCGTGAAAAAATGTGAAAAAAATCGTTTTTAAATATTTAACCTTGAAAATGATCTTGTCAGTAATATTCACGATCATATTCGTAATTAGAGCATCAAAATACAGTAGTGATCGAGAAGAAAATCAGAGGAGATTCACCTTTTTGGAAGTATTTTTTTTTAAAATAGTATATGTAATAAGTTAAACAAATTTTTCAGATTTTAAACTTTGTTTTTCTATTTTTCCTAAAGTAAGGAAACTTTTGGACTAACTTTCGTATGTGTGTTTGTGTATTAATCAAAAAGCCATGAAATTCTGCTTGAAATTTAATTTTAACGACAATTAATAATGTTGCGTATATACAAAATGTTGCTAAGTCAAGACTAAAGGCTTTCCATCAATATTCGAAGCTATATATGTACAAGTTGAACGTGAGATATTTTACATTTTGCAATAAGAAATATATATATATATGTATTTATTTCGATTCATTTAACTTATCTCATTTATTTTTATAACAAGGCACAAACATTAATATTACTTTACATTACGAAATAAGAAAATACTTCAGTAAACACGTTTAATTAGATCATTAAATGTATATATAAAAATTTTAGTTAAAATTAGTTTAAATAGAATCACTGTTATGTAACTACTGTATAGAAATTTGTGTTTTGTCGGAGATTTACTAACAATGTTAAGATTGAACAAAGTTGTGTTCTAACTTGATTGCGACCAGTTAATATTCATCATTTGTTATCCATTATAATCAACACAATTTGTTATAAGTTATCAACATAAGCGTGTAAGCCGAAGAAATCTTGTTATTCGTATTAATCACCTTTTTACAATTATGTTCGATCAATTTATACTGGCTGTAAGATTCTAGAGGTAATACACCAAAGGAGAAAGTAATTTTAGATCGTATAAATAATTTATACTTTGCTATTTGAAATAATGAAAATATCAATTATCAATAAATTAAGAATTTTCGTGTTTAACATAGTAGGTGTATGTAAATCCTGTCAGCAGAAGTTTACAACAATGCTAATACCGATTCTCCACTTTCACTGCGTCCGCACGAACGCACGATGTGAAAAAAGACGCACAAATTTTTGTTCAGTCATATCACTATAAAATTTTTACGAAAAGCAAAATAAGAAATCATGTTATACAAGTGCATCGCTGCTAAATGTAAGAACTTTTCTTAATTTAGAGACACATTTACAGAATCATACGTTTTCATTATACACATGTCATTATTAATTATTTCACGTTATCCAAATTATCCAACATTCCGATTTGTAGGAACCTATATGTCGCGAAATTTATCTGCTTTTATATCTAAAATATTGAACATTATTTTTCTCTATCAATTTAACTGCTTTATCCACACGTTGACACGCAATCCAAGCATTTTAAGATATCATAGTACTACTGAATTTTTCTTTGATATATATATATATAATAATAATAATAAGGAATGACGAAATAATAAATTGTAATCACATAATCGTCATCATCGCATAATAAGTTAAATGTGTAATCATTCATGTGTAAAAGAATTTAGTCTTTACGACTAGAGCTTGTGTAAGTCAAAGTATGAAAGACCAAAGCAACATTAGAAATCAAAAATTTTCTAATAGATTTTCTATCAAAATTCTGCAGACATTTCTAGGTATCTCTATACTATATTAATGATAATCATGATGTGTGACATGTGTTTATTTGAAACAGTAACAAGTTATATTCATGTAACTTCTTTAGATTGACACAATTGACACAAAATATTTTTTACGCAGTTTTTTATTTCTTAAAATTCCAATGTGATTTATGAAACTAGAATTATTTTGATAGAAACTGAAAAAGATTTACATATTAAAAGAAAAATCTGTTTAATAAAAATATAATTTCGAGCATTACGAGCACAATGAAGTTAGCGAGTTTAAGACAATTATTGATTCATAAAGTATCTTATATAGCACTGAAATATTTTAACGTGTTGTTATCAATTAAACTTCACAGAGAGTTATACTTTGCATGTAATGCTGTTGATATTTATACTAATGTCGAAGATTTTTATGTTATCACTGTTGGATATCTACAGTGACATTTATTTATTTTAAATGATATATGAGAGTGCTTTTAAAAACAAATAGCATATTATAATTATAATGTGTTCACGTTATATGACCTCGTGTTAAGTACTCGGAAAGAATGTATAGTTTATCGATATAAATGACACATCTAGAGTATCCTATTTATGTCTGTTATGATGTATGTGATCGCTTTAAATAAATATAACATAAGTAACATAATCTGTGATTTTTTTTAAGCAGGTTACTATAGATAAAAAAAATATATATATATATTTATATACAGGGTCTAGAAATAATCACCAAATATTTCATGGGCAGATAGAACGGACTAAACTGAGTCGAAAAGTTCTCTACCATTTTGTAAGTTTCCCCAATAATTAACGAGATATTAATCCTTAAAAATAGCCGAATACTACTGCGAAGTGTATACGCCTACCGATCGCTTGGCGTGCGGGCAGTGGGGAGCGGGGATAGCTTGGCAAGCACGCTGTCTGAACTACGGAGGCTTGCGGCGCGGAGCGCTTGCCAACCAATTCCCAACTCTCAAGGTCAACTCTCGCGCGTCAAGTGATCGGTAGGCATATACACTTCGCAGTAGTAGACCGAGCGAGCGTGCGTATTCGGCTATCTTTAAGAATTAATATCTCATTAACTATTGGAGAAATTTACAAAATGGTAGAGGACTTTTCGACTCAATTTAGTCCGCTCTACCTGTCTATGAAATATTTGGCGATTATTTCCAGACACCCTGCACACACACACACACACACACACACACACACACACACACACACACACACACACACACACACACACACACACACAACGTCACAAAAATACTTTATATACTTATATAATATATTTAACGTAAAAAAGATAGAATGAAAATACGCAAAAAAGATACATTTCTCTAATTATTACTGTCACTTTCATTAACGATTTAATAATTTTTTGGAGGATAAATTAAATTAAATTAATAATCTATATCTTTAAATTAATAATCTCACATACTTATGTCATACATACTGTAATTACATATTCATTTAATTGTTATTTTCTAATATCAATACTGCATTCGATCATGGACGTATTGCAAAATTTTTTAGGGAGTAAGGGGAGGGGGTTCAATCAACCCAAAGATGTACCGTGCACCGATTGGAATAACACTAAAAAAAAGGATTTTGCCATTGTACCGAAAAAAAACGTTACTATATAAATTTTGTTGTAATTTACAACAATTTTTAACATTAATAAATTCCATTTGAATATTTTTACAACTTTTAATGTCTCTTCATTTTGAAGAGGAAGAATTGTTCATTATGCAACTTTTATTTATGTTTTTAAAGCCTTTTTTTAAAGAAGGGCAATACAGTTACTATACAAGAATATATTAATTATAGCGTATATTCTGTTTTTTGCGGAACAAAAACCTTATGAAAATTTTCCTTATATGTTGCATATTTCGTCAAAGCTCGAATTAACAGAAGTATTTAAAGTTATTTATATGGTCTTATTAATGAGAAGAAAACAATTTTTTTTTTATATAATAGCAAAAAACTCACACAAAGTCAAAAGTAAAGTTGTATGTTTTTTACATTTAAAAGAGAGGAGTTCGATAAAGTATGTACATCACTAATTCGAAATAAAATATTTTCATTAGTAAAGCAGTGAAAAATTATTAGACACCAACCGATGTGCTATCAAGATGTGCGCTAACGGGATCCTCTCAGAATGAAATAATTAATAAAGATTTCGGAGAGAGAGATTTGAACCCCCCCAAACCCTCTCTCTCCCTCTTTTCCCCTGAATACGCCCATGCATTCAATATATTTCTTATCTTTATCTTAGTAAAAAATTTTTCATGCATGAAAATGTATAAATATATATAAACATACATAAATATTCATAAACATGTATAATCATGTGCGAAATATGTTTATATATCACTTTTTCTCTTGTAAAATTACTTTTTAGTGTATAAATAATAGAAATAATAATAGTAATGTGAAAACATTAAAAATAATTAAAGGGATCTTCGCATTGCAAAAACAAGTTTAGAAAAATTTTAAAAAAAATTGCTCATACTCAATTATGCATGATTTTATATAATTATACAACTTAATTATACAAACTTTTTTACATTTTTTCAAATTTGATTTTTTTTTCTAAAACAAATAGTATGAAAATTTTTCTTTTTCAATTATATTTAATTTTTACTATTATTTCTATTACACTAAAAAAACAATTTTACAAAAGAAAGAGGAATATATAAACATGTATGAACATATTTCATGTATAATTATACATGTTTATGAATATGTATGTTTATACATATTTATACACATTCATGTATGAAAAATTGTTTACTGGGACAACATTTAACTTAATTAACATTTAAATTTAAAGTACTTAATATATTCCTGTTGAGATTAAAGCAATTTGATTTATTTTACACACACACACACACACACACACACACACACACACACACATATATATATATATATATATATATA